ACCCTCCCCGTGGAAACGATATCCGATCGTTCGACGGCAATGCCGATTGCCAGTGAGAGCAGTAGTACCACCACCATGACCACCTTCTCCGCCCCGGTCCCTGCTACCAAATCGCTGCCCACCAACCAGTCGGCGCTAGCGGCCTCCTTCACCAACTTCCTCACCGTTTCCGTTCATCAAATACTATTTCTGCGCTCCGTCTATCCGCGCGCAACTTTCCTCCCCGTCCGGGCATACAATTATCCCGTCCGGCAATCTCGTCACCCGAAAGTGTGTGACTATATCAACGATGCATCGATCGCAGTCGGAACGGAGATCTTAAAAGGCACAATCACCGCAGTCAGTATCATCATTTCATCTCTTCGCACAAATCAGCCACTCGAACGATATGCCTTTGATCTGTCGGGCTTCCCGCGTGCCCCCGCGGGAGAGGTGAACACCACATTTGAAGACAGAAATGAAGATTCATCCAAGCCAGGTGCCCCTGTCTCGGACCGGGGCCCCGCACCAACGTCGGTCGACCTCGAGGCACAATTTCGGGCTTGCCTAGCGAGACTCGCCTCAGCGTGTGCCCGACTGACCCCATTGCCCCGCGATGACGAGTTCAGTTTCACCGTCTGCATCGAAGTGCGCGAAGACGCACTACCACCCGCGGGAACTACCAAGGAAGAACAAACTTGGATTGTGGCGGAACCAGGCAAGGTGCACCTCCGATCGTGCACAGCACCATTTTCCGTCTCGAAATTGCGCAACGGCGAGCCCCAGCAGCCACCCCCCAGGGTCTCGAATGGCCGTGCCAAAACAGTACCGGTACGACGCGTCGAAGCAGGAGAGCTTCGGTTGGAGTTGTGGGTAGAAGAGGCACGGCAGAAGTTTAACGAACCGGTGGACTCAGAGCAGCCACCTTGAACTCGAGATTATCTGATATTTGTTTCAGGCCTTGGGGGGAATCTGTGTTCTGCTGTTATCTCTTTCTTTTCCCTCTTACACCTCTACTTCCTCCCTTTTTTTTATCTCCTGTCCACACCCAATTTCTGTCTCATTCTTGATTTAGCGTGACCAATGATCGAACATACATGATGGACGAAGGAAATTCTGGAACTGCCGTCCGCAAGAAGTGGCGCAAATATATAAAACGGGGAGCGGACGATTTTTGGGACTCGCATGGCATTTACTTACATAGATCAGGTTCATATCTTTCCTTTTTATTATGTGCTTCATTCCCAAGTGATTCTTTATCTCCCCCCTGCTCTTCCCCATTCTCATTTTCATGACGCTCCTTCTCCATCCTTCATTACCTTTTTACCCTGCTTTTTTATATCTTCTCGTTTACTCCATTTGCATCTTTTTGTGTGCTTGATCCCTTGGGTTCTCTCTCCTCGCTGATCTTTTTGCTGCGGTCCGGCCTCTTTTTTGTCATACCATCTCCCATTTTTCTGTTGTATTTCATTCGTCTCCTTTGTTGAAATCTCCAACTACATGATTCTCTTTTCTAGCCAATTCAACTATCTAGCAACTAGTTCCCAATGTCGTCTTACCTTTCCTGCGTTTCTTGCCCGTTCCTTTATGCTGATGAGCCCAGTGAATCCCGTGAAAAGAAAGAACTTGAGATTCGGGGCTTTATGCCGTAACGTTATATGTCGTGTTCTACTCTTGGTTCGACTTTCTTTCTCGTCTTTCATCTGCATTGACTTGTTCTATCTATGACCGCTTCTGTCCCCTTAATACTCTGGACCAGGCTGATGAAAAATAGGCCCTTGATAGGCTCTTGGCCTTAGGGGTTTGACCATGTAAGTAAACTAGCCAGTCAGATATCCAGCATGGGTTAATCAATATGTTCGAAGAGAGATTGCTAGGCGATATACTTGCTTCATTTGCCGAGGGAAACGCTCGGGAAACAATAACTGGTTCATATACGATTGCCATCTAAACACAAGCTACCACCCGCTAACTGTTGAATTATGCTATTTTTGGCTCGAACTAAGCGGCAATAGTCGGCCCCGGCTTGATAAACAGGTGTTCAGGCTAACTTCTGGTACCTTATAGGGGGTGACCCCTGATATCTTCACTACGAAAGGAGAGACGCGTGTAGACCGACATCGGGAGTCCGATGACATCATATACTGAACTAGTGAAGTACAAGCATGTACGTGTAGCCACTTCAGAGTAACTATCACAGATATGTTTGATAAAACCATTTAAAATGCTTGAGGCTTGGTGAACAGACTTGTACCCCCAGCTGTTTTAGTCGGCTGTCAGTGATAATTCCGTGGCCTGACTGAAAGAGCATACTTCGATCGTAGCGGACTAGAAATGGCGAATAGTAGCGACTTTGGGCTTTTAAGAGCAGATAATTGCCGAGAGTAGTGAGTAGACCTAGGGTAGGATTCATTCATATCCCAGATCCGACCTTTGATGTGAACGAGACAATAATGATCCAGTTTATCACTGAGTTTGTTTTGATGCTGTTCTTGGTCTTGAGATCTCTGAGAGACCGAGAAGGAGAAGGGATGTCTCTTTCAGATAGCACCGGGCTTTACTTGCTTCATGATAGAAACTTGCCAAAATCAGGTGCTCGATTTGGCTCTAAATTTTAAAGATAATGTAATGTTGATGTTTATATTGGACTATGGATCCAGCCACTTAGCTTTCTTACTATTAAGCTTCCTTCATTCTTCATTCTAGTACTAATCCAGTAGCCATGGCGTCTTTTCATACTTACCCATCTATCATCTCACCTTCTTAGATATAGAAACCTCGGTCATATTAACAATACACTAATCCCAACAAATGATGAAACCGGAGTACTAAGACTCGACCTGCAGACAGAGTTATTTTAAGCACCGATCAGTTGTGTTTCACATATCTAACCGCGTCAACCTCGAAAGCAGATGACCATAGAACAAAGTTCCTCACCCACTCTACGTCTCAAAACGTGACTACATGTATAAAGACCTCAAACATATAGATAAACTTCATGGAACCCCGCAAAACAAATGACATAATCGCCAAGGCCTCACATGACCCCTCCAAACCCTCCGCCCCTCAGCCAAAAGCATCACTTACGTCAAGAACCCAGAAATAAATGCAACATCCTCGCTTGTCCTCGCTTGCCGTCGGGCCGGTGACAAAGAGAAACACGGCGCCGCTTTCTTACGTGTAGAGCAGGCGACTCCGGCCCGGATCACGACGCGAAATGCAGATGAGGGGGGAAAGACATCGGGTTTGGTTGGTAGATGATTGATTCGCGTGACCAGAGTCACGGAGAAGAAATGTACGTAAATTGAGGAGGTATATGAGTATATACAATAGGGGGTGGCCGTGGAAAGTGACGATGTCTACACATGGTTCTCAATCGCCGGAGCCACTATCCGTTTTGAACCCCGGATTTTTCTTTTCTTTGGTCGGACTCCCGTCGGATACCTGTCATACCCGGACTACTTCTTTCCTCTTCCTCTTTCCCTCTTTTTTAGAGAGAAAAACATCTTCGATATCTTGCAAATACTTCACGTTGACTACTACTTCGTACGGCACTCACAGTTACACCGAGATCTGTCGGTTGCTACACAGGGGTACCTGACGGACGTCATCATCTACACGTCTTGACATAACATCAGACACAACCACAAACACAAACCCCACACCCCGAACACCAAACCACCACTATGATCGCCGCAGCGGTCCCTGACCTCCCAGCAGGGGAGTCACCAGATCTAATCCTGGTTCCGGCAACACCAGCAGAGCGCATAGCCTCAATCAAGCTAAACAGCGTAGCTTGGAAGGGCCCGCTAGATGTTGAAACGTACATAGAGCGTGAGGACCATCTCATGCAACAGCGACTAACCCGCGACGGACTGACATGCTGGATCCTCGTGGACCGCAACGAGCCCGTCGGCGGCCGCACAATCCTCAGCTCGTGCGAGTCCTACCGCAAAAAGGCGCTGATGGCGCATGATGGCCACGTGGAGGATGTGGCTACCCACGGCGTGGGGAGTGTCTACTGCCGGCCTGAATTCCGGGGGAAGGGATATGCTAAGAGGATGTTTGAGGAGTTGAGGCTTAAGCTTGATACGTGGGAGATGGAGGAGGAGAGTCGGCGGAAGTCGCTGTTTACTGTACTCTTTTCGGATATTGGGAAGAAGTTTTATGCTCAGTTTGGGTGGAGGCCTTTCTTGTCTTCGCATATGTCTTTGCCGGCTATGGAGAGTGCTGTGGATGGAGGGGATGTGACGAGGGATCTTTTTGCTAAGGATGTTCAGCAGACTGTTTGTAGCGAGGCTGTCCTTGCTAAGCTGCGGGATCAGATGCGTGTGGCATCGCTGAAGTCGTCCAAGGCTAAGATTGCTATTTTGCCTGACTTTGACCATTTTGTGTGGCATTGGGCCCGAGAGGAGTTCTTTGCTGAGAAGCTGCTTCCCGAACGGTCCCCGCCGGTCGTCAAGGGTGCTGGAAATGACCAGGCTCGCGTGTACTGCGCTTGGAACCGCAACTTTGGAGAAACGCCCGAGGACAATGTTCTCTACATTCTTCGGTGGGTTTATGATGACCCCACATCGCCGGCAGAAGAGCAGGCCATAATTAAAGCCATGGCTTCCATCCTTCGACGAGCTCAGCACGAAGCACACGAGTGGAACATGAGCAAGGTGGAATTCTGGAATCCGACCCCCCTCTTGCAGAAGGCTATGACCTTGGTCGACCCGAAAGCCGAGCTTGTACACCGCGAGAAGGATAGCATCGCTAGCTTGCGTTGGACCGGTTCGGAGGATGGATTGGGTAAGGATGTGGAGTGGTGGCTGAATGAGAAGTACGCCTGGTGTTGATCATTCATTCATTCGATATCATTTCGGGGTTTGTTTCTTTGCTTTCAAACAGTTCTTCGCACTTCGAAATGCGGAGCTCCAGGCGATCTTGGGCGGCAGATGTGATCATGATGTTTCTAGACACGCTCGACATCATAGATTAGATGATATGGCATTTCAACGCATCGGCGTACTGGCTCTTCAGCGGCGGACTTTAAGCAACTCGTGCCAATTTCTGGTATTCTTAGCCTTTGCAGCTGCAGCTGGCCCAGTAGGAGCAGCCTTGCTGTTCTGCTCCCGCTGAGAGGGCTCGACAAAGTGTATAGTCGTAGGGTCAGGGCTCTTGTAGCAACCATTCTACAGTCGAGTTAGCCATGTAAACAAACAAACCGTCAACTGGAAGTGACTTACGGTCAACTTGGACAAAACGGCCTCTCCTCTCCACGGTTCAGGCAGACAATCCTTCCACGCACGAAGGAAGTCGCTTCTCCCAATAGCGGACGAAGCCCCAGGCGCAATAGCAGCTAAATAAGTCTCCCCAACCCACTGCGCACACTCAACCTTATCAAAGCTCGCCCCTAAACGAAAGAACAAACAAATCAGCAACTCGCAATAAGAACACATTGAGCCCAGCCCAACAACTCACATTTGACCTCATCCGCCAAAGCAGGCCGCTCATCAACAACACAAATCCGCCTAACAACAGCCTCAAGCAACGCGCGCGGAAACGGCGGCTCAGCCGCCTCATCCTCATCAAGAACCGACTTCCATAAATCCCCCACAAGGAACTGTTTCTCAAGATCAATCCCCTGCAAAACAGCCCCCTCAACCAACCGCCTCCAAACACCTAACCGCGCGCGCGCCGACGGCCGCCAACACCCGACCTCTTCGCCAGCATCCACAAACGCACAAAGCTCCATCCAGCCCAGTTCACACTGCGCCCGCGACACAGGTATATCCACCCAAACCCCCTCCCTAATCTTTCGCACAGCAGCAGCATCCAGAGGGTCCATTGACGCGGCAGAATCATCCATAGCTATATCTCCGTCGTCATCACTGCGACGGTCATACAGCCGCAGGCTCTTTTCCAGGAATGGGATTGCGGAGAATCCGCCGGGTGGGATGTGCAGTTCTAGTGTTGAGGAGCATTTTGCGATTGTGGTGACTGCTTCGTCGGGGAGGTTTAGGGTTCCTTCATCGCCGGCTTCTTCTTCGACGACTTTTATGTCTGCTTTTGAGATCTCGCCATTGCTGGGGCGGAGGATGTGGATTGAGTTTGAGGATTGGACTTGGCGGATTCGGTAGGTTTGTGTTGGTGTGCAGAGGTTTACATAGTCTTGTGCGCTTGGATCGATTACTGCTTGGGCGAGGGCTGTTGAGGGAGATTTGAGTTCGAGTCTGTGGGTGGTTGGTTAGTATGAGGTTGTGCATTGTGGAGAAGCATTGTAGGGTTGTATTGGGGTATTGATTGGGGGTTCTGGGCTGCTTGGGGAGCGGTTCGATTCAATCGCGTTCTTGACTTACGCTGGGGCATCTTTCGATGTCAGTAGTTCTTCCAGCTCTGGGGTCAATTCCAGCAACCGGAACCCCTGCTGAGGGCGAGTATGTGTAAAGAGGATACTGCGCGAGACTTGCGTGGCCATTGCTGGGTAATGGATTGCAAAGATCCAAGTGCAAGGGAAGAGGTGAAATTGAACGCGACGCGAAGTGGGTGCACACGGACCACCGCTTAACATCTACTTCGACTTTGACATCTTCCACATTGCACTTGGTCCATTGCATTGAACATTAATTTGGATCTAATCATACTGAATGATACAGGATAATGAATCAAATCTTCAATGTTGCTTTGGATGACCAAATTAGTTCTCTCAATGCTACGCCAACCGGTATGCTTGTACTCCATAAAAAAGAGAAATGACCACCCAAAGATAATAAAAAGCATATACACGAATGAAACCCCGAAACCAAAGCTCCTTCGAGCTTAGGCATAAATGCGCCCGCAGTCTAAAGCAAATAGTCCCTTGCATGAAAGATGTGTCGTATGAATCTCGTATGAATCACGGTCAGGCCGCATGTTGAGTTGCAGGGGATCGGCTAAATTACCTGTGGAAATGCAATGTGAAATTTGGCAGGATGATACTCAGGCCTCTTCAGTGGAAAGAGATGGTGAGGCGGTGTTCGTTCGTAGCTTGGATCATCGCTTCGCTTTTGGGATGTTATGGATCTTCTCAACTTGCTGGGAAGACTCATGATGATCTTTTGCATCCTTTTCGGGTTTGGCAGCTGGGCCATCGGCGGATCCTTTCACGAATTCACCGTCGGTGCCCGAGTCCTGGGGCTTGGACTGGGTGCCGTCCTTTTGTTCAGCGCGCTCCTGTTCTTCCCGCTCGCGAGCCAATCGCTCCCGCTCCATTTCTTCCATGTGCCGGAGATCATCAACGCTAGGCTCATAAAGATGCCAAATAGTATAATGTGGCAGTCCAATGACCGAGAACTTCATGCGCTTGGCCATCTAGGTAACATTAGCCACTGTACCAGTCATTTCTGGAATCACAATGCCTTACCTTGCCAAACCCTTCGGTCTCGGCATGCTTTTCAAAGCTAAATGCCGGGAAATGGACACCTGCACGGAAGACCCTAGCCTTGGCCAAGATACTGACACCGCCAATGCCGTCCAATTCCATCTCCATGTCCGGATCACCATAGGGATCCCGGAGGTAGGCGAGGTGAGGCCGCCACGTAGCGTACTCGGCGTATCCTTCCACGATCACGGCATCCTCGTCTAGAGTATCTGCCAGCGCCAGGGCAGTCTCCGATTCCTGCCATGAATTCAGGTCATACGGCTGCTCTCCACCCAGCCAATCCGGAAGCGGTCGCCAAACATCTGCAAACGACCCCAGTTAGCATATAACCAACCCTCCAGCACGAGAAGTAGCAACTCACTAGGAACAGTGACATCCTTATTGTGCCGCATTAAGTCCTCAATGATGGTAAACGGGGCGGTCTCCACGTCCGCATCTCTCCAATAGACCCAGCTATGAGTCGGGCGCAAAGTCGCACTCAGCAACCAATTCCTAGCCTGCGCCATCAGCTTGCGACGATTGGCCTGGGCCTCGAACCCATGACGACTTTCCACATCCTGCTGGACCTTTTGTCCGAAGTCCTTCTGGATCACTGATATCTCGCCAAACGACATCGTCGGGTCAGGGTCATTCTGCACCTCTTCCAGCATGCGCGACAGCATGCCCAGGGTTTCATCCTGGGAGTCAGACACCAGGAAAGCCAGATCGATCAGGTTGTGGGGGTATGTGAGGTTCCGCAGATGCGAGAAGAACATTGGAAGATGCGACGCGGCATCCCGCAGCGGGGTGCACATCAGGACACGCTCTCCGCGTTCCCAGCCCTTCTCCGAGCCCTGCACTTGCGATAAATCATAATAACGGACCGTTTGTAGGTGCAGATCTTCGGTGGAGGAGAGTAGACCGAGCGAGATCGTCGGCAGGATGGCGGCGCGCCAGGAAGGGAAGATGAGGAGAACGAGGACCAGGGACACTCCAGCGAGGAGGCATAATCGCTGGAAAAGCTGTCGGCGGCGTCGGAGGGCGGGTTGGGAGCGAGGCTGGAATCTGGGTGAGGCTAATTAGTCCCGACTTCAAGCTTCGCGATCGGACATGGGTGTCACGGCAAGCTCCGAGAGCTCTCGGTTAAAATGCGCGAACTCGTCCATGCAGGGTCTCGCTTACCTATTTGGTGAAATGGAGAAGGCCGAGCCGATAGGGTAGGCAGAGTGGCCCTTTTCCAGGACGTGCCTGTTCATGACTGCGGGAGCTATCACGACCCGTCACGGCGCTTATGTCGGGGGCCAAGAAGTTGGTGGCCGGGGAGCCTAGTCGCAGCCCCGGGTTTATCCAGCTTGAGAAGATGTGAAATTTTCAATTGAAGAAAACAAAGAGAGAAAAGTGAGATAGAAAAAGTGCCCGTGAGAGTAACACACGGTCCAGGAAGTTGCCTCCGAATCCGGACAACCGCTTGCAGACCCCTGGATTGCATACTTCGTGTTTTCTAACTACTACATAATATGTCAGATCTGATTTAGCCAATTGGAATTAAATTCGCTTATGTACAAATCTCAAATATGCTATGCTATGCTATGCTATGCTATGCTAATTTTGGGAGTGACGCTCTCACAATGCAATCGTCGGAGGTGAGAACATACTCATTCGAGGACGAACAGGAGGAGAATCAATCTCCTTTGTTTCCACATCAACCTGTCCCATCATCTGTAGTAACAAGGTGTTCATTCTCTCTCCATCACGCAAGCTCGCCATGACGGATGCGGCCTCGTAGTCGTTATCAAGTATAAAGTAGCGTTCCTTTTGCCAGTTCTCCACCGAGTCGGTATGGAATGCGACTCTGGCAATCGCTTTGGCTGGAACACTGGCTTTGTTCATGGAGCTTCGGGATACCATGCGCAGGAAAGGCCGAAGTCCGGTCCGAGTCTGGTGTGCGACTTTGACGGACATGGGGGCCCCAGTCCGCAGGTTGCTTGGGCCAGTCATGCCCCCTGGATCCAGTGTGAAGATATCTAGCGATATGTGTCCAGTCTATATAGGTCAGTAACATGTCAAGAACATAGGGGGTTGCAAGTTGCAACTTACCCAAATCAAGCTCCGTCGCAATGCATATAATGCGACACTGGCTATTAATTTGCTGCTTCCAAATCGAATGTTGCCTTCTTTTGCACTCAGTGATGTTCCAGGTTGTCGGTCGTGTCTTCCATGGTCGCGGTCGAAATAATCCAATCGTCCACACGATGTTGCTGCTGAACATCCAATGTTGATCACCTTCGCTCCACCTTTTGGTGTACCATCGCCGGCACGGAACGCCTCAAGGAGTCCGATAGTCAATAAGAACGGCGACAGGCAATTTGTTTGATACACTGGGTCGTAGCCATCAGAGGTGAGGTCGTCAACAACGTATGATGTGGCGACAGCAGAGTGAATCAGGCTGGTCACGGGCGGAATGTCTTTAAATCGGACCCGGTCGACTGTAGATTTGGCAAAGCTGGCCACTGATTTCAGATCGGTCAGATCAAGAGTGAGAACCTCAATCGATCTTGGGCCGATTAATCGGATCTTTCCGATGAGGTCCCGGACATCATCGGTCCGTATATCCCGGGCCGTCAATAATAGATGCACAAATGGTTGCTTTTTTGCAATCTCAATGGCGATCTCTGAGCCCAGTAGTCCATTGCCTCCGGTAATAATGACCGTCCCTGTAAGTGGTGTTCCCATGGCGCCAGGTTTCAGGCAAGATTCTCTTGAGGGCAAAACAGTGGAGATTCCCGGTGGAATTTCTGCCGATATTCCAATTATATAAGAAAAGCAGACAATGGGGTATTGCGTGACAAAGTAATTAAGAAAAGAAAGAAAGGGCTGCAGGAGGGTCCAAAGCGTAGTCAAAAAGTATAGGCACCATTAGACGGTAGGATCTAAAAATTCCACCCCGGCCCCATTCATGCAGAAGGTAAGCCAATGAATTATATCAGACCTTAGCGGTGTCTTGTCTCAGTTCACGGCTGAGGCGTGTCTTTCCAGAAAGACGACAGAGTGGATCAATCAGATGCGAACACAGAAGACGTGGTGCCTTAGTGCCGAAATAGCGAAAAACACCGACCCAGTTGGCATTACAGGATACCCTATGATCTTTCCGCCTGACGGTGCGTGGCATACTTGAATCATTCCAAGCCAGCATCCTTGCAATGGTCCCCATACACCTCGTACTCAACAGGGCATCGGCATCTGATCCTGAATGGGAAGTTTGCGACAATGGTGCGGTAGGACTGAACCTTCTCCCGTCTCAAAGCCCTTCGCCGATCCGAGATCCCGGGCTAGAGAGATCTAGTCGTCGTTAGACACATCGCCAAGTTTGAGCGGGAGGCGTCAAGACACTTTTGGCCACCCCCACTGTCAGGTTAGGTCTCTTACCACCAACAGTCAGCTAGCCCAGCTCTCGGCTTCGGCTCGTATTTTACTGCAGGAGAAGTAACCATAAGATCATATTATTGTTAGCTACAATGACGTTTTATGCTACATGGTAAAAAAGAAAATCCCAAACGCATCGGGTTTCAGACAGAAATAGGACAAGTCGATAAAAAGCAAAAGTGTTGTGGCGCATGAACGCGAGCCGAGCCACGGCCACACCGTGGCTCGCGGTGTTTACTAAGATTTAATGGGGCGCAGGTCTCGATCTATGTATAGAGCTAGCCATCTTACTTTCTTTAGTTTACGTACATGTACAACATATGGGAATTAAACACTTATAGAGTAATCACTAACCAAAGTATCATGTGCTCTTTCTATTCAAACTTCAGATCTCAGCGGTTGTACGAGAAATATATCGGGTGTGTTTGCAATAATCGAATGTAAGTGCCAAGGCACCAAAAACTGTTGAAATTTTCAATGGAGAATACGATGAATGATGCTAGGAAACTCTTGCCAAGAACCAACGAGGTGGTTTAAGTCTGGTCTCTCCTTCATGAAGGAGAGATCCTATTTAATGTGAAGCATTTCCCCTGAACTATCCTATACATGGTAGGTTGAATGCTGATCATGAGCTTCATGCTTTGGCGAAGCGGGCATTTAATGCCTGGAGATGCCTGAGCAAGCCATGAATCTCAACACACCCCCTCAGTATTGAAGCTGCCATGTCTTCAAGAAAGGCATGAGACGTAGGAGGTAAATGCTCGACTCTCTCAGGGTGAATCAGGCTTTCAACGCCAATGCGTTGCGAAATGCTTCGAAAGCAGGTCTTGCTAATGGCTTGGTGAGGCCATCAGCAATGTTGGAGACGCCGGCGACGTGAGAGAGTCGTATTTTGCCTTCTTCAACTCTCTCGCGGATCCAATGGTAATGAGTCTCAATGTGGCGGCTTCTCGAGTGATGCCT